AGTCTTTGAGGTTGGTAGATTCCAGTCTGAATGAATCTGCTGATAATGTTGGACTAATCTGTGTGAAACATCAGAAGAATTTGATCATTAATATCTAAAGAGTTTTCTTGCTACTCCAAAGTCATTCAGGGTCTCTGGGCTGATTTAGCTCCGCCCACCTTTAAACACTGCACTGTTTGATGGACAGGTGGAGTCGACCCAGAGCATGATCCGGATCCTGGGGCTGTCCGCCACTCTGCCAAACTACCTGGACGTGGCCGCCTTCCTGCACGTCAACCCCTACATCGGCCTGTTCTTCTTCGACAGCCGCTTCAGACCCGTGCCTCTCGGACAAACCTTCGTTGGCATCAAGACCACCAACAAGGTAAATCCACACTCGGCGTCCACTGATGGGCACCTAAAGGCTGCAGGACTTGGGTTTACACGCTTCGACAGCAAACTTCATGAAACAAAGAGTCATTATCAGGCATCTGATTGTTTCCTTTCCATCAGCATAGATAACTAAAGCAGATTATATCTGTTTTGTGTTCAGATCCAGCAGCTCCATGACATGGAAGAGGTTTGTTACAACAAAGTCCTGCAGCAGATCAAAGCCGGTCATCAGGTCAGTGCTTCTACCTCTAAACTAAAATGCTCCTTCATCCACTTAACTGTAAAACAAACCAAGCCTTTCTCTCAATGCCTTTAAAAAGAAAGTATTTATGGGCATTTTAATTTGTTGTTTTCTTTCTTAGAAAAAAGACAAAGATGAGAGTGATCAGTGTTGATGTGTTTGTGCAGGTCTTTGAGTTACAGAAATACCTGCTCTAAAAATAAAACGGTTGACAGTAACGCTGGCAGGCTTCGCTTCTCCAAACTCAGACGGATCCTTTGAACAACCAGCCTCACGGTTTCAGGTGATGAGCGTAGAAAGAAACCAGGCAGATGCTGGTCTGCCATGTGGAGCCTGCAGGAGGAGGAGTTGCTCTGCCACATTTTTCCCTGCAGATTCTGGTTTAGATCTAAACTGTTCACACTTTGCCAGGTTAGACTCCAGGACGGTCTGAGACTGAGGACCTGTCTGCTGGCTGCCTTCGCTTCATGCTTCTGGTTCATTAAAGTCGTAGGGAAATCATATTTAAATGTCAAATCATTCTGGCTTAAACATCTATATAAATGTTCTCTTTATCAGACCATATTGTCCCAAAATTAAAAAAAATTCTATATAAAAAAAAAAAAAGTCCTGTCTTAGACTAAGACAGACTGTATTTTGTTAATTTGTATACACAAGTGTAAACAAAAAAATTTTTGTTAAGTATAGCTCTCTAGACTATTTAATTTTTGAAAGTACAGCCTTTTTTAAGATAAGCAGCAGTGATAAAAACATTGTGATGAAAAACAAAACAGTCATGTAAACATATAACTATTAGGGGTGTAAATCACACCCATCATGGCGATTCTATTCAGTATCGATTTCCTGACCCAACGATTCGATTATTTTCGATACTCAAGAATACACCACGATACGATTCGATTAATCGATTAATCGGTTACTTTTTTTTTTATTATTATTTTTTTTTTTACACCTTACAAGCTAAACAAAGTTTCAAGTTTGAAATAAATCAATGAAAGCTGTAATATC